GAGTTCCTCAAGAGACTGCAACAAAACTTTAAAAATGAAAGTAAAATAATGTAATGTTAACGAAAAAAGAAAAAATATATAATAGGCCCGCAGCCATTGCAATTAGTTTATTTCCACATTTTTTTCCTTAATAAAAATATAAATTGATTCAATCATTTTACTTAAATGCAAATAGAGGGAGTATGTGTGTTTTATTTCTAAGCATTTAATTTATATATATATGCGTGCAAACAAAATGAAAATGAATTAAAGTAAGTTTTTTCGTTATAATAATTGAACAATAAGTGGTTATAAACATGGAATAGAAAATATTAAAGAAAAAAATTGAATTTATAATCGCGCAACCATAAGCCAATATTTTCTTTATTTGCTGAATTCAGTTCAGCGTGCTTAGTTTCTTTTAATTTTAATATAAATGATTTAAAAATCAATTACTAAATAAGCAACATGCTAAATATTAAACTGAAATGATCATGCTACTTCTGTGAAATTTCCTATTACTTTTCGGAAATCAATTTAAAAAAATGAATATTAAAGTGTGATTTTATTAAATCATCATTTATTAATAATTATAAATTTCATTTTTATATTAAAATATTAAATTCTTGCGTAGAAAAATTACATATTACGAAATTATCCAAAATTTCAGAATTATTTACAAGATTCATTTTTTTAGTTGCTGAAGGAAATAAAATTCAATGCATGAAAATCAAACAACATGATTTGAGAAGTTGAATAATATTTGTATGATTGCGAAATGAAAGATATAAAATGTATATTTTAGGCATATAATCATTTGAGAATTGAGATGAAAAATAATTCGCATATATCTTATATATAATAATAACAATAGTAATAATTGTTTTACTCCAAAAACTGAAGGTGTATATTTCTTAATGTTTCAATACATTAATACATATCAGTGATTGAAGACTAACTGATATTTTAGTAATATTTAAATTACAATGGATACTTAAATTATTAGAAAATAAATAGTAAGCATTTTGCTTTACTCACAACATGCGTTTTCAATCAATTAATTTAACATTTTTTCTTACCAATTTAATTTAAGATAAAAAAGTTTAAAAGAAAATATGTCAAAAAATTAAGATAGAGGTGTATATATGAAACTTTTTCTTTTGGAGCTTGAAAATGAACTATCTCACTTAAAAAGACCCACTCTAAAAGTTTCATCAAACTGGGATTTGTTGACGTTAAAAAAAAAAATGAATATTTTTCGTACATTTCGCAGTTTTAATTCCAGCTAGACAGAACTGGTATCAATGTTAATGGTCACTGGTATCAATATTAATCACTTAATTAGATGAATTAGTTAATCTTACGTGTAAATAGTTAAATCAACTTCTAATTCAAAATTTGTACGTAATATTTTTTTTTTGCAGAATTGGGTATAATAACACTTATACCCAATACAACACAATAATATAAAAAGCGACATACCGAAATTATCTGAAGAAGACGAAAAATCGGTGGATGTGATGGACGTGTGTATGGAAAACAAAACTTTAAACTCTAATAATGTCATAAGAATTTAACACTTTATTCAGGAAATACGCGGCTGCAAGTGTAAAATGTTAATATTTCTGCCCCTGTTACCCGTCTGAGCTTTGACTCGCAGTTAAATCGAGGCGTAGTTAGTAGGCGGATGTTCTCCAGCGGGATCGTTTGCCATTAAAGTTTCATTTGGCATGTTAGATAGGCACTACGCAAATATGTGGTTGGAGATACCTTCTAACATCACACACACATCGGTATCCAAACGTGTTCTGTTACAGAGAGATATAGGCATTCAGTGGTCTAGGAAAGTGTTGAAAAAGCAAGATTAGCAATACAAAGGCGTACCATGGCAGCCGGATATTATCCTGATTAAATGCAAGAACATAGATCCACCCAAGAAAGAGCAACAGTGCAGGATGTAGTCTTGCTGATATGCAGTCGTTCTGAAAGAGTGTCATGGATGGCATCCAAAAGGATCCGGCTATCAAAAGAAAGAATATCCCATACCCTAACTCCTGGCTATCAAGCTGTGTGACAGATGATCAATCTCAGACTTGGATATCAGAGAATGCGTCTTCCCGGATCATAGGGATTCAGTTTGAAGACTGACTGATCCATGAAAACAATTTTATACTAGTCCGTCAGATACTCTTGTTTGAATGCATCCATCATTACTGAAAATGCAACTGGAAGTTTACTGTCTTAAGAAGAGCCACGATGCAATGGCCTCCATATGAACTCAATACCCACTTTCTGTGTTCGCCTATTGGTGGTCATTACAGTCATTGGTGTCCCTATTGGATGTCAGATCGTTGACAAAGACGCATCAGGAGCATCGAGTTCTGTTTTTACGTTTCGCTCGTCGTTGCTCTCGGTCGAACGTTACGTTCTTGAAATGCCATGAACCATCTACGCCGTGGTACATCCATTACTGCCGATATCATCAAGCAGTAGCATTTCTCCGATCCAAATGTCGAGCGAACCTATGATTTCATCATTTTGCTTCTTTTAGTCTAATTAAATGTCATCTCTCAAATTATGACATCTGTTCATACTGTTGTCGAATCCATCTGCGAACCATTAATGCAGCTAACGTAGATCAACAGTATCGCATGGAAGTTATTCCTAAGCATTTGAATGTTCATTGAGTCGTTGCAGTTATTCCAATCGGTCATCGACCACTTGAAGTTAATCATTTGCATATTCAACTGTAAGATATGTGCGTCCGCAATTTTATCCCGTTCGGATAACTTCTTGAAACATTGTTTTATATGAAATAGAGTATATTATACTTGTTCCAAATTTAGTTCGATTCTGATTATTATTTCCCGAGGCATTCGGAAAGGAAAGAAATAAAAAAAAATATGTTAGAGTCACATGAAACGAGATTATTTAAACGATTCGTACTTTTTCGAATTTTCAATATAAGTGGATTGATAATTAAGAATTATAATCTATTATGTTTGAACTTGAATGCTTTTTTAAATGCCAGAAGGAAATGTGGATAAAATATTGAATTTTAGAGTATTAAGAGAAATCAATTCGTTGTTTAACAATTCCTACTTTAATAATGACTTTTTTATAATTTTTTTTCACCCTTTTAGAAGTGAAAAAATTTACCTATCGATTGATTTAAATACCTTAAAAAATATTGATTAGAAAACTTTTATATTGCCGACTGTTTGAATCACATTTAAAATTAAGGTATCCGTTTTTAAAATCAGAATTTTATGAAATTTGAGTTTTAGACTAAAATTATGATAGAAATACAGATTCAAGAGTAAAAATATTTGCATTAGTAATGAAAATTTTTTTAGAAGTTATCAATGCCACTTAACTAATCCATATGCATCTTAATTAATTCCCTTTTAAGTCAATAAAATTGATATCAATTTTGTCCAGTTGGATTGAGAATTTCAAAAGTTTTTCAACGCATCATTTTCTTTTATGGTGATGACTAAGTCTACAGAGGATTTGAACGGTTCTATTTCTTATTCAAGTAATTTCAAAATACTTCTGACATTGGTGGAGGCTGATCGAACAATACGATATAACAACAGTTTCATTCTTAACTGTCATACAATTAAGAATGAACTATTTCGTTACTCAAATCCAATGTGTACGAAATTTTTAACTGTTTATGTATAACTTAATTAATTAAACGGAAAAAAATGAAATTTTTAAAAAAAGAATAAAAAAAAGGGGAATTTTTTTCAATGAATCAAAAAGTAATTAGTTTAAAACAAATTTAGATAAATAAATAAAAAAATGTGTTTTTTTTCACTTATTATTAGAAGGAATTACTTCCTAAGCTTTCAAAACATTTGACCCAAAAAATCCCTTAAAAAGAAAATGTCTAACCATCCCAAAAATTCAATGCAAAAAAAAAGTTATTTTACCTATTTTGATATACATACACAAGCATATATGCATGTAAGCATTGCTAATTTTTGAAATTTTACAAAACAGTGACACTCTACACCCAAAAACTGAAAAACCTTTCGAAATTACAAATTAGATTCAAATTTAACCACGTATCCTGGCTGCGGGCAAAGAGAGTGCTGAATCAACAAAATCAAAATAAACCGAAGGAAATAGAAAGCAAGAAGGGGAGGGGAAAAAGATACAAAAAATAAGGGGAAAAGATAATACAGAAAGGAACATTTAAATAAAGAGAGAGAAAAAAATCCCTCAGAGGCGGAGGGAGAGAGTGAGGATTCCCCTTACCTTCTTTGTGATCGTGATCCCTCTCTATCTTAGTGCGCGCTGCGGCATCTGCCAGCAGGTGATGGACGCGGTGCGGCTGTGGGTAGACTCCGACGGCGGCCACCGTCGCGGCCACGCCGTCCCGTAGCAGGCGTTCGGATTCCATCTCGGAAAGGCTCTCCGGCCGGATTGTGGCCGTGTTGCGAGGCTGACGTTCGTTCTGCACCGCTGTACATACACATACTCAACTTTTAGTACAGCACATACTTACACACGATATATGTGATTTTCAAAAACATTAACTTGAATCAATGATCGACAAACAAATCGTTTCTTTAGAAGATGAAGTATTTTGATATTTACTAAAACGGAAAATTATATATATTTTAAAAGGGGAATAAAAATCTTTGCGGTTTAATATGTTACTGACCAAACAGATTAATTTAATATTAAAACTGATAGCCATTTTAAAAGAAATGAAATTTTGAGCTGGAATTTTGTCATTTTCTGGATTTGATAATAAAAACACAAGTAATATATATATTAAAGTCAGTTCCTATTTAGGTTAACAAAGAAAAAATTTTTTTATTTTAGTTACCTTTTATTAAATATTTACAATTTATGTAAATATGAAAAACATATGACAGAATCACAATATTAAGTGGCAAAACAGAAAACGTTTTTCCATTTTCCTTTCTATATATGGTGTTTGACTATTATTTTTTTTTGTTTTTTACTACTTATTCATTCATATACCACATTCTCAGAAATTAGGCCATCCCAGGTAGGATTCGAACCTACGACCTTTGGATTAGTAGTCCATCGCACTATTCCTTGCGCTTCAGGATTTTCCTTTTTATACATGGTGTTGGACTATTATTTTTATGTATGTTACTATTTATTCATTAATTAAGTTTAACTAATGAACTAATATTTGAAAAAACTGTATTAACATCAAGTGCCATCCACTACAAGTTTAAAAAAGTGTATTTGAACTTGAGTGGATGAATAAAAAGTATTTTAATAATGACTGAAAATTTGAACAATATATATATATATATGTATAGGGAAGTTGTGATACGAATTGAAAAAACCGAGCATTAAATTGTATTAAAATAATATCAGAAAGAATTTATATTTTTAATATGATAACTAGAAAGGTAAAATGAGCTTCGATCTCTATACCGAAATTTAGCTTGCATAAAATAAGTTCAATTCTATTAAAAGAATCTGCTATGATTTAAAAGAGAGAGACACAAAAGTTACTTTCTTAAAATTTTTGAATAGTCATAAGAGTACAAACGTACAGAGATTTTCACAAAATTATTTATTATTTTCTTTCTAGGAATAGTTTTAAAAAGCTGTGGTTTAATTCAAAATGAGTATTATTTATATAAATTTTATGATTAATACTTCTTTCAAAACCTTATGGATGATAATTATTCAATGAAATAAGCTAAAAGAAAATCCTCGTTTACTCAAAGCTAAGTTTGCTTTGAAAAAGAAATTGAATTTAATAAATAAAGCCTGTAAAAAGACCAATAATAAGGGGTAATAATTTATCTTGACAGTTGGTGAAATTTTTCCAGAAAAATTGTAGAATAATAAAAATGATGTTAATATATTATTTTATATTTTATAAAGGATTTCTACATTAATTATTCTTTATAAATATATATCTTGTTCTTTTCTACAGCATAGTTATTCCTCTCAACAGTTACACCCATTAGAAATACTCAGTAGTTTATGAAACAAAAGGTATTTACGACTACATGTAGCAGCAGAAACAGAGTGGATCAAGAAATCCCTTTTTTCTTAGAAAGGTAAAATTATTAGCTTTATTTCATAGCGTATTCTTGCAGCATCTTAAAACGGAGATTATCAAAGCAGTACAATTGCCTCACTCAATATTTTAAACACATCCTGACTATATAGATCACATTCCCTTTAATTGACATAACCCTCACTACTCTTATCGTTTAAAAAATATTTTATTAGCTCTATAAATGTTTTTTGTAAATAATTCATAAATTTATTCAATACCATTTATGATAGTGTATTAGCTGTAATTTTTGAATATTTTCAATTTCATAAGTTTGAAAATACAATTACCAAACTATTAATTACAGTTATTAAATTGGATTATTGAACACACACTTGCAAAATGGTGCTTATAATATAATGATGATCAATTCGGATATTAATTCATTAAAATAATTATTCTATTTTGATAAATTATGTGCACAAAATATATACTCGTGTTATTGGTCTCTCTCTCTCTCTCTCTCTCTCTATTTACTATTCACTACTATGAATGCTCATTTTTAAATATGATTTATTTGAAACCAGATTCAAATTTGGATAACTACTTTATGAACAGGACTTTCAAATTAAATTCTCAAAATACAAAGAACCCTCAAGATAATTGCAGGACCAAATTTCACATTCAATTTATGCAAAATAATAATGTCTTGAAGTTTTACATAATTTGATTTTATATTAGCTCTTTTTTGTTCTTTTGTTATTAATTTTTTAATTATGTACATGCATATAAAACTTTATTTTGTATAAAGATCGATAGTTTGAAAGATAGTTTTTTGTGTGAATTTATGTATTACCTTTTAATTAGAAAGTAAATCAGTAATTTGACTTCTTTTTTTCCATCAATTTTACTATGCTCCCTACATAAATTTTATAATTTTTTACAGCACTCTTATGCAAGCTCTACTATTATGCTGTGAGGGATGGACTTTTGCTCACTTCATCAATTTTCAATATGGTGTCGAAAACGCTTTAAATCTCATCGAAAATTTTGATTATACTACTTAATAAAATGTTTTTAAAAAATAAGGTTGGAGTCTTAAAAAAACATTTATTTTGATTATACTACGTAATAAAATGTTTTTAAAAAATAAGGTTGGAGTCTTAAACAAACATTTATAGTTAATCTTAAAAGTTCGAAATACTGCCCAATAATTTCAAGGTAAAATATTCTGTTTCCTTTGAATTGTTCATTAAAATCGATAAAACTATTTAAATAATTTATTTTCTCCTAAATAAATCTAGTATTAAATTTTACTTATATTTGTATGCTTATAGGATATTTTTCGTTGCATAAACATTTTTATTAAATTTTTTAATTCTCTCAGTTAAAATTTAAAAAAAACACTTGCAAATGATTTTATTTATTTAATTCTATAAAAAATTTTTTAACTTAAGTTCAGCCCATTTTTCGCGTACCGAAAAACGTTTTAACCTTATTATAAAAAGTTCCTGACGCCCTGACTTCATTGTGCTCTACAGAGGTTAGCGCATCATGTTAATGTTCTACTTTTTAAAAATATATAAAACATAATCTATATACTTCGTCTTCCATATTGTAATCCTAAATTGAGCTAAAAATTATACCTACCTATTTAAGAAAAAATGAAATACTTATAAATTATTTAAAAATTGCTATAAAGCATAATATGATAAATGCACATGTGTTTAACCATGCAAATTTATTATAAAATTGGAATATTTTTCTGTCTGAAAATACTTTTTTGGTAAGGGTTCTATTCCGTGATATTGAATGGAGACAGTCTTCAATTAATGCTATTTTAACTCAAAATTGAAAATCGCAAATTTTATCTTAAGATTATATACTTAGAAAAATGCAATGATTAGAAGGAAAAATATATTGCAAAAAGAATTTTTGATAGAAATTTTAAACGAAGCAAATTTATTGTTCGTAAAATTTTATTCCTTTTTTTTTTACTGCATACAAGCGAATATCAAATTCGAACGCTAATATTTATATGAAGAAGTTTTCTTACCATCTTTATTCATGCCCATCTGCAGACACTTTTTCAGCCTGCAAGCTTGGCACTGATTTCTGTGAGCTTTGTCGACCACGCAATTGCCTGTTCCTGCTTGACACCTAATCCAGTAAAAAAAAAAAGAATTTTTAAATTGCACTTATAATGTTAACTAATATACAAATGGCATAGATAAATCTGTCGCATATTCATGATCAGGATATTATATAATCGAACTCCACCAAAATAGCTTTGGTTTTATTCATGTCTTGACCGCGGAAGCTTCGTGGACGGGGACGGAATGTCGTGAATTCGAGGCCTAATGCCACTGAAGACCCGCTGAAAAGAGAAAGTCTATGCACGTTAAATTTATCGAGGCTCAATGTCCTCCCATTGGTGGATGTGTAGCTAGGAGGGGGAGTTGCAGCTCAGGTGTCGCCCTCGTCATTTGACTGTGGTTCAAAATCACGAGGTCCGTCACCAATAGTCCATCTGTTGCTTCCCAGTGCAATGTTAATATGCACTCACTCACTTCATTCATGTTTTGAAACGGATTTTTCTCCTAACTTTGTGACTTATTTTCTTTTGGTAAGCATGAAATATGGTATCGTTTCAGTGGGTTGTCGGATTAAGCAGATTGCCCCTCCCCCGCTACTTAATTGCTACTTGCGATTAAAAAAAATTAGCTTGTTAATCGAGTAGGTGGAATAAAGGTCATTTTTTGGTTCATCTATAGAAATAACAAATGAGTCATGAAAGATAAAAAAATCACACGAAAAAGTTGATTTAAAAAATTATATCAAAAATCTCTATTTTTAATAACAATTACTTGTTTCAAGTTACATGATATTTTAATAGAAGCAGGAAATAACAAATAAATGTTTATACTCTGCTTGTTGATAGTTTAAAACTCACTATTTCTTATATTTAATTCATTGCCTCAAACTATTTAATCGTATAATGTTAAATTTTGTTACTAAAAATGTGTTGCAATTATCTTTTTTTTAAAAAATTATTTCATTATTTAAATAGAGATAGGAAAAATATAATAATATTAAATTTAGTAATTTAACATAAAGTTGAACTTCAGTATCATAAAATTTTGGTAACTTTTCATTGAAATTTAAGAAAATTCAGCTCAATCTCATTGGTAAAAGTCTTACATGACGTTCACAAAAATTTGCTTGAAAATTCTTAAAATATTTTGTTTTAATGTAGTTTTGGTGAAATGTTTTACATTTTAACACTGAATAGATAGCAGACATATTTAATTAAGTTAGTTAGTTTGGATTAGGAATATCAGCTTAAATTAATAAATTTATTTCTAATAGATAATTTATTATTTGAGATTTAGAAGGAAAAACGTAATAACACATTGACTAAAAAATTTCAATTCCTTCCATGTTTAATTCAATTATTGCTTTTCATTGAATTGAAACTAAGAATCAATAACACGTTTTATTAATTATCTTTTGATAATTATATTTTTTAATACTATAATGAATATATTTTGGAATGCATTTCTACATTTTAATTTCAATAAACATAAAATGAATTTCTATGAATATAAATTTGAATAATATCTTACTAACTCTATTACAACACAATACATTTTCTATTAAAAAAATGTTCTTGATAGTTAGATATGTAAATCTTACGTTGCTGCACCATTTGTTCCTTCCGTTTAGAGTTACCATTTATGTAAATCTGAAATTTTAGTAGATCATCAAAATTGAAAACTTAGAAAATTCTTTCGTAGTCTTTATGAGTTTCCAGAGAAATGAATAATGATAATATAAACATTTTCTAAACATTTAACAGAAATTTAGATCTTTTATTTACCACTTCTTATAACAGTTTACTTAAAAGAAAGAAAAGATTAATGCTTGTTATTACAATTATCTTTAAGCGCACGCATAGTATCTGTAATTTTTTTTCAAAGATAACATTTTAATTAATTTTAATGCTGTTTATTTTGAGAGGCAATTTTACCATGAAAATTAGTCAAATGTATTAAATTACTTTTTGCTCATGTTGCATACACACAC